TTCGCCCTTGCGGACTTCAAGATTGTACCGCCAAACGGCGTCAGGGTTGACGGTGAGGTGGAAGTAGTTGGCCCACAGGACGACCTTTTTGCCTTTGGTGCCGTAGGCAGGGCGACGGGGCATGAGTGCGGCCGAGCTTGCTTCAATGAGCGTCATTGAGCTCATCTTCTCGACGAGTTTGGTGTCCTTAGCCTGGTGAGACTTGACGATGCGATTCTCGAGCTCGGTTGTGCTGCCATCGGGCTGGGGAATTGGCTTGTTCTGACTGTTGAGAGTTAGTCGAGCTGTAGCAATGGCTGTGGTCTTTCACGTACCCGAAGAATTGAGACTCATTCTCGAATGGATCTCTGAAGCCGCTGTAACCACCTCGTCCACCCCCACCTCGTCCACCGCGGTCAAAGCCGCCTCGTCCTCCCCGATCACCTCTGAAGCCACCGCCACCCCGGTCACCTCGGAAGCCGCCACCACGGCCACCACGATCACCTCCAGGACCGCCACCGCGGCCGCCGCGGTCTCCTCTAAAGCCGCCACGTCCGCCGCCTCGATCACCACGGAAGCCGCCGCCATCGCCGCCTCCTCGGGGTTGGAAGTCACCGCCTCCGCGCCCTCCTCCACCACGACCACCACGATCTCCACCACGGCCACCACGATCTCCTCCCCGGCCACCACGGCCACCGCCCCGGCCACCACGTCCAGAGTCAGCCATTGAATGAGTCAAGGGATGTTCAATGAAGCTGAAGCCAGATGACAGATCAGTCACAAGTTCAATTGAGGCGACGCGAACTATAGAAGCGTTACTTACTGAACGAGACTATATTTAGATATTCCTTGGGTTACTTATGTGCCCTGCGTCGTCAATGTGTACAGGCGAAAGGGCCCAGGCCAAGTATGCTTTCAGGGGAGAAAGCACATTTGACGTCGGCCAGCGAGTGGCATGCCAAACGGGAATGTGCAATGATTTGGCCAAAGGCGAATTAAAGCAAAAAGAATGATGTGTGACAAACGATGAAAGTACTGAGGGCAACCGACGCGGGAGGCCGTCAAAGGTAAAACCAAACAACCAAGGTATCAAAAAGCTACTCAGCTGATGAAGTTGCGTTGGAGGGGTCGCATTAGATCAGCGTGAAAGATGGGAGATGGGATGGGTGAGGGTAGGTAGGTAGGTAGTTGATCTTGGTCCCGGCTGAGAGGCGGCGGGTAGGTATCCTTGTGTCTGAAGTGGGGCACAGCACCAGAGAAAGTCAAAAAAGGGTCCTTCCTGCTCCTTCACGACGGTACATGGGAGTCTGGAGTAGCTTTGAGGGAGCTACAGCCAAAGGTGAAGGTCACTGTGGTGCAAGTAAAGACACGATTGGGGTGGCAGGCAGTTTTGAAGCTTCCCACTGTTGTGAGATCACCCGCAGATAAATATGGATGGTTTGTCTAAGTCACGCCCAACTAACGATGCCCAAGCTGGGGGTTTGCACGGGGACGTAATGTAATCGTTGAAAACCGTCATTGGAGCCTACTATCGGTGTCTATCAACCTATCAAAGAACTTGAACTACTGTGATAAAAGTACTCTGTGCGACGCATCGTCAAAGTGTAAAAATGGCGGGAGAGGATGGCCTCCTTCGCCCAAGCACCAACGTCTGCTTGAAGCCCACAACCAGCTGCCTTTCTCTCATTGCTTCCCATGTGGCTCAGCCAACGCCCTGGCATACTACCGATGTATGCACAAACCCAGGATGTCAGGGGCAGTCCCGATTGGTTGTATGCGTTTGATCAGCTTCCCAACCACACAAGATGGTTGCGAAAGCACACCCACACCAGTCCCCAACTCCTGATAGACTGCCTGCCAGGTATATGGCTCATGACTAAGCGAGCCAGTACAGACCAACCTCGCCTCAACCCACGGCCATGACTATTTCAGGGTGTAAAGACAATACCCCTGGTGGAATAAATGCAGCTGTTCTTTCTCGCTTTACCGGTTCTTTCCTAGATGCGTGGATGCTTTGCTGTTCTGAACGTCGTCGACGATGCAGTCAAGCCCAAGACTGCAGGCGAGGCCAAGCCAACGCAAAAAGCAAAAAAGGAGCGGTGTGTATCTGCACAGCAGGGAAGCAATAGCAAATGGAGTGCCTACCTAGAGTGAGGGGTGCGACCAGTTGGTTTGCAATCGGCAACTGGCCGGACCAGAATCACCTGGAAGGCGGAGATGTGGCTGCTGATTGTTCATGTCATCAAGTCTTTTGCTCTCCCATGCCACAGGCCTTGTTTCCTGCGGAACCTTAAGTTTTCAAACCGAGAAAGCGTTTTGTTTCTGGCATTTTCCTTACATGAAGCTCACGATTTTCAAGCTAGGATAGTATGCCATCGCTATCGAAGGAGGGCATCCTTGCAGTCTGGCATTTGGGGTGGGAACGGCTGAGAAGGGACCTTGCAGCGGTTACTGGGCCCGATTAACTGCGTTAAAGACCCAAGGCTGCTCGTTGGCTGCATATATCAAGTCACGCTTGAAGCTAGATGACTAGGTGCTCAACAACTACAATCACCAACAACTCAAGAGGTCGATCCCAGTGAGCGAAATCGTGAGGCGTTACACAACCTCAAGATGAGGAGGCACAAAAAGTAAAGTATGCAGCTTGGAGGATCACTGCAAAGCGTTTGGATTTTACAATGATGCCCTCTCCCTATTTTCCTTTCAACACCGCAAACGCCCCCGTTGTGAACGCCGTTAGAAACAGCTTGTGAAAGGCAGTTTGTCGTCATCCCACATTGCGCACCCTTGCATGACAGCGGACCGCCGCATACGCCAGCATTGGCGGCAGTCCACCGGCGATAGGGAAGCATCAAGCAAACACGCAACCAAATCATCATTGATCTCAACCCGTCGCTATTGGGCAGGCTTGACGTGGCCCGCTGTAGCCACCTTGAGAATGTCGCCTTCGAGCCCCTTAATGTGCACGAAATCGACACCCGCCCTCTCGAGCGCGCTCCGTCCAGTATTATCCTTGACGAACTTTTCCGGCTCTTGAACACCAACATAGACAGTCTTGATAAAAGAACGTAAATGAAGAATCCTCTTGGTACAGGGCAGGTTCCCGCTGAGCCTTGTTGAGCACGGCTCCATGGTCGTGTAGAGCACCAGAGGCGTCTTGATGACGGAGCCCAGCTCCTCCTCGGTAACGTCGTGCTGTTGGGCCAGCTTCATGAAGCAGCACTGCTCGGCGTGCGTGTTACCGGGCAGCTCCAACGTGTAGCCCGTCGAGACGACTGTGTTGCTGGCGGGGTTAACAAGGGCTGCTCCGACTCTATAATTTGTTGGCTTTGGTGGTGACTGTTTCGCCAGCGAGAGTGCATATTGGAGGTACCCCGCGTGATCGCCAGGCGCTATCGGTGCTGGTTGAATGCCCTCAACCCCGGATGCCATTTTCAATGTATGCGAAAGTTGACTGGTTTATTCCGACTGCGATGCGATGAGTGAGAATGTAGGGATTTCTCGAGTGCTTTGAGATGCTTTATACTACAAGACGAATTGGGCTGGGCTGGACTTGAATGTGACATTTATCAGTTACAAAAAGTAGCTTTCTTCCGTGAGCCAGTCATCGTGGGAGGGGCAGAGGGGCAGGGAATGAAGCTCTTGCCTCAACTCAGCGCATCGGTGCCGCAAGCCCCGGTTCGCCGACTTCCTCGATGCACGGACCACTAATCAACCCGGTCCTTGAACGCTGGATGCGCCCCACCACTTTAGCAGGCGCGTCTCTACCAGCTCGAGCGCGTCGCAGAGCTCTGAGTGAGCTTTCTGTCTATCATCAACCCAACATTCACGTCTCCACAGCCTTCAAAATGTCATCCCCAGGCGAACTCGTTGACGATAGTCCCCCTGAAATCGATCCCTATGAGATTCTGGGACTCGAGCGCGAGGCTACACCGGATCAGGTGAAGTCTGCCTACCGTAAAGCAGCACTCAAGAACCATCCAGGTAAGAGGGAGCAGCCCACCGTCATCGTGGGTCGCAATTAACATCACTTATCGCATAGACAAGGTCTCCGACGACCAAAGAGATGAGGCGAAAGAAAAGTTCCAGGCCATCGCTTTCGCGTACGCTATTCTCTCCGACCCGGCACGACGCAAGCGGTACGACACAACCGGCTCCACGTCCGAGTCCATTATCGACTCGGAGGGCTTCAACTGGTCCGACTACTACCGCGAGCAATTCCAAGATGCGATTTCTTCAGAAGCCATTGAAAAGTTTGCCAAGAAGTACAAGGGCTCCGACGAGGAGAAGGACGACGTCTTGATCGCCTATGAAAACTCCAAGGGCGACATGGACGGGGTCTACGAATCGGTCATGCTGAGTGACGTGCTCGAAGACGATGAACGTTTCCGCCAAATCATCGACGAGGCTATTGCCAGCGAAGATGTCCAGGCATACAAGCGATACACAAAGGAGAGCAAGCTGTCAAAAGCGGCTCGCGTCAAGGCAGCAAAGGGCGAGGCGAACGAGGCCGAGGAGTACGCCAAAGAGCTTGGAGTACACGATAAACTCTTTGGCGACAAAAAGGGCAAGGGGAAGAAGAAGGGCAAGGATAGCGGAGAGGCCGACCTGGCCGCGCTCATTAAGGGCAACCAGCAGAAACGTGCCGGGTTTCTGGACGATCTCGCTGCCAAGTATGGAGCCACCAGCCAGCCTAAAAAGGGGAAGAAGAGGGTCGTGGAGGAGGAAGAGCCGTCAGAAGAGGCGTTTCAAGCTGCAGCTGCACGGCTGAAGAAGCCAAAGGCGGATGAAAGCAAACCTGCCAAAGCGGGAAGAAGATCGAAGCGGTAAAACATGGTATTTCTGGATCGGCGTCTAAGGTTTGGGGGTAATTCGGCAAGGGTACGGTTCTGTTATAGGATCGCATTGAATGAATGAAAGGATTTTTCTGAACATCAAAAAGAGGCTTTTCTCGTGATTCTGCAACCATGTTGGATGACTTGTAACATTGCGGATGGTGATGACTGATTTACTCTGGGGGTAGAACAAGTCGGGTTGGTGTCCCTCATGGGACAGGCCCTTGGAAACCACCTTAGCGCCGCAATGCGGGGCACGCAGCACTGTAGTCGCCAAAACATCCCCAGGTCAACCATGAAAGTTTACTTCTCCCCCAAGAACGGAACCTTCCACCATCACATACATGTTCTAACGCGACGCGCTTTTCGGAGCCCCCATCCGAGGTGACCTGCAGCTGACTATCACGACATTTTACGGCCAGGTCTGGGTTGAGGACGCCCAAGTGATCTTTAACCAACAATGCCATGACGAGCGATGTATCAATAGGCGGTCTCTATCCGCAGTACTGCCTGCAACTCTCCCCAACCTTCAACACATGGTGCCTCATGCAGGCATCCGACGTCCACGCCCTGAAAACCGCGCCTGAATATGAAGGTAATTTGCCGCAACCATGCGCAGGTGATCTGTGGCCCACAGGCTAACGAGTGATGCATCCTGCAGTCCAAAACTTCTACTTCTACAAGAACCTGCCTATCAAATGGGCACGCATCGTCGGCATCGTCGTAGCCGTGGACGACTTCCCGGGCCGGCGCATTTACACGGTTGACGACAGCAGTGGGGCCTGCATCGAATGCACAGTCGCGACAAAGACACCGCCGGCCGACAAAAGCGCTACCAACCTCGAAGCCAACGGGTGGTTCATCAAACGGCCGCAGCCGCAGCCTCCTGCCGACTGCATCGACGTAGATGTCGGCACCGTCATCGATATCAAGGGAGGGCTGTCGAGGTTCCGCGAGGAGATGCAAATCAGAATCGAAAAGGTCAAGATCCTCCGGTCCACGGAGGAAGAGGTGGCGCTGTGGGAGAAGCGCACGCGGTTCCGGGACGAGGTGCTCCAGCCACCGTGGGTTCTCAGCGAGAGGCAGATTCGGAAGTGTAAGAAGGAAGGGATGAGGGACGCTGAGAGCGAGGAGAGGAAGCGCAAGAGGGAGAGGAGGCGCGAGGAGAGGAAGAAGGAGGAAGAGGAGATGCGGCGCAAGACCGAGGCTGCCGAGGCTGCTGCAGCGCAGGAGAACCGGTACCGTGCATACAAGTTGAAGAAAGCAGATGGATCGCGGCCGATGGTACACACCAGCCAGGCCTTGACGGCAATTCCGACTACGGCTGCGGCTGCGGCTGCACCTGTGGTGGAGGATCGATACCGTGCCTACAAGTTGAGGAAAGGAGGCGGATCGCGCCCGATTGCGCATGCTAGCCAAGTCATCGCGGCGGTACCGACTGAGGCTACGGCTGCGCCGGCCGTGGAGGACCGATATCGTGCCTACAGTCTGAAAAGGGGGCACTCAACCCAAGAACAGCAGCCACAGCGGATCACGAGGCCGGCCCCGACTCCGGCCGCGGAAGACCCTTATACAGCCTACAAGATCAAGAAAGGAGGAGACAGTCGGCCGGTCATGGGGTCTGATGCTACGACTATTGACACCGCTGCTGCTGCGGCCGTGGAAGATCAGTATCGTGTTTACAAGGTGGGCAGATCTGGGCTTAACAGCCTGGAGAAGAAAAGATGAGACTTTGCAAGGGAAGCAGCATTCTCCTGGTTTCTGATATACGGTTCATTATAGGCGCTTGGGGCGCTTGGGAGTAGACTTGCTTTCGATACCCGCGATTGGCTTTGCGATTTCAATTGACTATTATTGCTGTTCATTCTACGACGCATTCTACACTTCCAATACCATCTTTCGCCTGGCGCTACCTTTATGGAATTGTACAGTTCATCTGCACATGCTCTATTTCGCAGCAGCAAGCCAAGTGTGGTCACTGACATCCGCCAAGATGGCGCCAAGGATCCCCCCAAGATCATATTGCCTAGTGACAGGCTGAAGGAGCTGGTTACACCGAGAAGAAGCAACATCTTGTCTCCAATGCGTCAGCATACGGCATCTTCTGACCACAGTCACCAACCTCAACATCTGCTCTCGCAACAATGGCCTGCAGTTGCAATTACCACCCCGATCCAGCTGCTCAAAAGTCAGCGATGCCACTGCTCTTACGTCACTGGCCCGAGTGCCTCGCTTAAGGGCAAAGGGAGGGACGACGAGATGCCCCTCCATGACTTTGGCCCCTGGAGGTAGAAGACATCCTACCCAACGGGTCTCAATTATACGTGCATACCATCGTATTCGAGGCCAAGTGACCTGTTGCTCTGTCAATTGCGCCGGTCATTTTTACCAATATTGGCTGATTTCCCCTCCCTCTTCGGACTGTCAAGCGGCAGCTTGGATGCCGAAGAGTCTCCACGCCAAGGGCAGGCACGCGTCAGCCAAAGAGGGTCGTTTCGTTTGGGTGCTGCATTAATCGTGCATACTTAACCTCATGAGTCGAAACTTCCCATCGCAACATCTCTCTCCAATTGCGCTTGCCAGAAAAAGACCTAAGACCGCCTAGTTGAGCCAGTACACATACCTATCTTGCCTTGATCTTACTTGCTGGTCTTTTTGCGACTGCATCGCGTCTTGTCACCTAACGCAGTCCTCAGACCATTGCCAGTGCCGTTGTTGCCAGCCACAACATCATCGTCGCTTCATCAGCTCTTGGCCAAAGACTCAAAAGCCTCTGCTGCCATCAAGACACGGCCACCACCGACGCCTACCTGTCTTGACCGATCGCGATCCCTCAGTGCCTAACACCTTATTCTATCTCATCACGCGGCTCTCATCGCTCCGTACCTAGACCGAGTTTCCCGGCAAGCCGCTCTGCATTCCTAACGAGGTGAGACCAATCCATTGTTTCTGGAACCCGTACATTCCCTTCACATTCTTCGCCCGTACGTTGCGCGGTAACGCTGCAAATCTTCACGTTCTGGACTGCGGCTATCCCACTCGTTGGCTTACCACTATCGGTTCACCGAGGAGTGTCCATTGTTGATGTGTGGCGGCTTTCACCATGGCACCTGTTTATATGAAGTTGGAGCACCGCTCCAATGCTACCTCATGCAGAATTGAGGAACTTCTCTCCCTGCCACGCGCTACCTAACATAACCCCAAAAGCCAGAAACAGGCTTGAACATCCTCTACAACCTCATACCAACACGATAAGATCATTGCACTCCCCCGCAATGGCGGGCTTTCATAAGAAAATGGGGATCCTCAGGCTAACTTTGATACAGGTCCTCCTCTGCGAGAACGCACTCGCCCTATTTCACCAGCAACACGTTCGCCTTCACGATACTCACCCAGATTCAGTATCTCTTGGTCAATTGAACGTCCGGGCCTTACTCCTCGATAGCCGTGATATAGCTTGCCTCACAGAGACGGCGAACGTAACCGTAACAGTCAGGGCCACAAAGGGATCACAGCAAACATCGGCACCAGTATTGGATAACTCCCAGGTTGCCGACGTCGTCACCAGCGCCGAAGCCAGTGGAACGGTAGTTATCTTGCCGTCCTTGACCAACACAGCGCCTCAAACTTCTGGATACGTTGCAACTGGCCTCACAGCATCGGGCAAGGTTACGTCTTGCCCTCTTATGTCAAACCCTATTCCGACGCCTTCATCTCTCATTGACACAGCGGCGCCCGCTACTTCAGTTGCACCACTTCCATCCGCACCAATGCCTTCCGGAGACATCTTTTCTGAGCCCATTGGCACTGGAGCGCCCCCAGGCACAATCTCTGCCCGGAGTGATCATCCGGTTCCGAGAAAGGGCATCACCTCGACCTCGCCGCTTCAGACAAACAAGTTTTACTCCAACTTCTTCCTAGGGGACCAGACGGCGCCGACGTACACCTATCCTTACGGCATAGCATGGGGGGCAGGACGAGGAGCCGCTGCCAGCTACGGCATGACGATTTCCCACATCGAAGCGAGCCAGCGTGTCTTCGGCCCGACCAAGGCGGATTCTGGAGCTGCGTCTTATTTCATTAACCCGGTAGGTATTCAATCAATGGTAATTAGCGCTCAGGAGCTCGGGTCGGACACCGCGGTGGGAATCGACAGCGTGACGGCCTTCTCTGCGACAATTCATCTGAAGCCGAATGCCCAAGCTGTGCCGGCGGTTTCTTTCCCCCTCGTCCAAGGAATGCCCTTCATCACAGCCCAGTACGCCGGCGCCACCCCCGTGATCCGCACGGGAGTCTTCTTCAGGACGGTTACGCGGGTGACACAAGACCCCAAGGCCGGCGTTGCCAAGTACACTTTCCAGCTTGAAGACGGCAAGATCTGGCGATTGTACGCATATGCAACCACCGGGTCCCAGCTCAACCTGCAGGTTGTCAACAACGGTCTCGCCCAATCAACGCAGCCGTTCTACGGAATCATTCAAGTCGCCAAGGATCCCGGAAACGGAGAGGCATTGCTTGACCAGGCGGCCGGTGTTTATCCCACGACAGTCGCGCTGTCGGGTTCGGTGAGCGGCACTACGGGCTCGTGCACGTTCAAGTTCGCCAAGGACGGTCATCCTGATGGCAAGTTAGTCATGTACGCGCTGCCGCATCATGTCTCCTCATTTGATTCTACGACGAGAAACGGCGTTCAGCCAGTTCAGCTCATGACTCCTGCCAAGGGAATTGCGACTGCAGTCTTGGCTGACCAGTGGACGATGCAAGAGTCGAACTTGCCTGTTGGCATGGGTTTCGCCCCTTGGAGCCCTGACAAAGGCAGTCTCACTACCCTGTCTGACAATGCCAAAGTCGTGATCCGCGGGATAGCAGCCCAGGAGGTATCCCAGGACATGATGGCTCAGTCTGATCTGGACTCCATGTACTTCAGCGGAAAGGTAAGTCTACTTCAGATGCCTGTGAATCATCTCAGCTAACTCGCAACTAGGCCTTGGCCAAGTTCGCCATACTGATTATTGTGATCAATGACATTTTGGGCGACCCGGCACTGGCGCAGTCAGGCCTGAACAGGCTCAAGGCAGCGTTTGCAACGTTTGCTACCAACAAACAAAAGTACCCGCTGGTATATGAGAGTGAGTCGCGGTTTCTTGAGACGATGTATACATCCCGCTAACCTGACCCAGGCGCATGGGGAGGTGTCGTATCTTCGGCAACCTACGTCACGGGCAACGACGGCGCCGACTTTGGCAACACGCAGTACAATGACCATCATTTCCACTATGGCTACCACATTCTTGCAGCCGCAGCCATTGCTCATTTGGACCCGAGCTGGCTAAGTGCGAACAAGGACTATGTGAATGCCCTGGTGCGAGACGTGGCCAACCCCAGCACCCAAGACACCTACTTCCCTACGTGGCGTGCTTTCGACTGGTACCATGGACACAGCTGGGCCCATGGTCTGTACGCCTCGTACGATGGAAAGGTGAGATGAACTTTCACTCGAGTTCTGAAGCACACGGACTAATACCAAGGACAACAGGACCAAGAATCAAGCTCCGAAGACATGATGCACGCCTACGCCCTCAAGATGTGGGGTGATGCCTCGGGCGACAGCATGCTCTCATCGCGAAGCAACCTCCAGCTCTCGATCATCGCCCGCGCCCTCCAGGACTACTATCTCTACAAGAGCGACAACGTCGTACAGCCACCCCAGTTTATCGGCAACAAGGTGGCCGGCATCCTCTTTGAGAACAAGATTGACCACACGACCTACTTTGGCGCTAATATCGAGTTCATCCAGGGTATCCATATGATTCCCCTCCTCGCGCCCTCGCCGTTTGTGCGCACACCGGCCTTTGTCAAGGAAGAGTGGGACGTGTACTTTAGCAACGGACGCGTCGATACTATCGCGGGCGGCTGGAGGGGCATCATCTATGGAAACCTTGCGACGATTGACGGTAAGACGGCGTGGAACTTTTTCAACAGCTCCAACTTTGATCCTAGCTGGATCGACGGCGGCGCGAGTTTGACATGGTACTTGACGTATGCAGCTTGTAAGTCTTGATCATATTTCAGCCTTGTCCAAAGAAGTGTGAATACTAACACAAACTCACAGTAATGGGCAACGTCTAAGACGTTTTTCAACACCTTGCATGGGAAGCACACCAGTCCTAATTCAACACTTACATGACTGGTGGACGAAACGAACGACGTGAAGATTAAGAAGGGCGGCACCATTCGAATTCGGTTTTCTCTTATTTCGTTTTCCTTAATTGCACGTGGACGAAGTAATGAACGACGAAACAACAATGAGCAACGACGCATGAAATGAAGAGATGGGAGACCAACAAAACCAATGTAATGCCTCAATGACGAAACACGACACGAAATTCCTACGATACACACACATGCCCTACTCAAACAGAACCTAGAATTATATCTTTTTATTACGAAGAATGGAAAATTTGCATTTGCCTCTCAGCATTTGACTATCCGTAATCTAAAAGCAAAGAAAAAAGTGACCGCCAAGTGAATAAAGGCCAAGCCTCTCCCTCTTTCATCTCAAGTCGCCAAAACCGTTCATCTGTCCTCTGATCATAATGATCTGGCTGATATTATAAGCGACTGTGGTAATAATTCAGACGAAATGAGCCCGCCAAGACGTGGCGACCATTCGGACCCGTTCAATCATGTATGTACAGAGTACGGAATATGTGAACAGATGAAATATGCAATACATCCGGATCCAAAAACAGTTGGACAGCTAATTGAAGAATGCAGGGTCTGCATTTCGCAGCGTCATGAAATCAGCCGAGCCTCGTGTGCACCTCACCTGCAGGAGGCGAGACAGCTAAGCATCCCAAGCCTCAAGGTAGCTCAAGCAACGAGCTCGGGGCGTGCAAGCAGCAGGAAAACACGGCACATGCATCCATGATCCACCCCTCCATCATTGATCAAGCGGGAGAGCAACAAGCAGCAGATTGACAAGAAATCCCAGGGGGGCGGATGGGTTTCTCTTTGGCAGGGCCCGGATGACGCGTCACCCATCCACGTAACACGGGCCCCCGGCTTCTCTAGCTCTTGGGGGCAGCGAGGGGTACGAAGTGCGAATGAACGGGAAGAGAAAAAAGATTGGGGGCCGGAAGGCTAAGCTTTTTGGTCGCCACAATGCTTATTGCAACTGCTGGTTAGAATCAGGCTACAGGCGGACAAAGTCTTGGTCAAAGGTCTCTTGTGCAGAGAGACGATCAACTTGATCAGCCAGATCTGTATCGGGTCTTGAAATTGCAAAGATGGTGTCGAGATGCCGGTGTCAACTGCCACATCGACAGAGCATCCAAACACCGTACAGCGACTTGCGCGCACTGACTGTCAACACTGTGCTTACTTTGGTATATACGGGGATCGAGCTTCGAGCTTTTCACGTTCGTCCCTGTCGAGATTCAATAAATTGTCCTGAATATGGAACGGAAGGTGAGATTGCGACATCCCAGGAAGGTCATCAACTTGGCTTGCGACGTTGCGGCATCGCGTCAGGGCAGCAGACATCTTATTGTATCAAGAGCCATATAAGGTAAACTGCCTTGGCCTTGCAAGTCGGAGAAGGGCCAGCGGTTACAAGCCGCCATGGATGTAAGGTCTCGTTGATGACTGTTCTTGCCAAGTCTCTTACCAGCTGATGCGTGATCCTTACTACTCGGAAGTCGGCACAGCTGGCTCAGGTGCGATGCCTTCAGCTCGGTAGGGCTTTGACTGGCAGTGCACCCGAGATGACATCCCGTGTTGGGGCGAGGATATGAGACGAAATTTGAGTAGCAAGGTATTCGCGTAACCGTCATGCTTCTTACCAAATCCGCATTTGGGCGGGTGCAGTAATAAAGGCACGGCGACTTGTCCCAAATTTGACTTGATCTCAACTAAGTCCGCTGTGCCGTCACCTCGCTACTCTGCCAACATCGGTGGATGCAGTCAGCTGAAAAGCATGAGTGCTGAAGTGGCCGTGGTTGTCCGCGAGGAATTGCCAAGCATGATCATCGTTGGTTGGTTTTATGACGGTGTCCATGAAGTCGACTCTGTGATCTTCATATCGGCAAGTCTTCGATATTGAGAGAAGCTACTGCGGCTTCTCCTTGCTTTGTTAGCCAGCTGGCCAAGCCCTCAAAGCCACGTGCCTCTTACGAAGCAGCCTACGCAACAGACAGCAGGTGCTATGGGATCACCGTATCAGAGAACGTGGCCGGAGTTTAGTGGGGGTTGCTGTGTCTGTCAAATGGATGGTGGTGGCTGTGAAGGTGCCAGCGCACGAACTTCGCGTGAAAGCGCGCGCATGAAGCATGGTGTGGAGGATGACTCGGGATTCGGCTGGGAAGTAATATCAATCGGCGACAGGCCAGCCTCCGTGCCCGTCCCCGCAATTCAGAGTTGGAGAAGTAACGTCGGAAAGGCTAATGTAGAGCAGTGTTCGAGGTGAATATTACTGCGAGGCAGACATGCTAAGCTCGAAGACAATTAGTCGGACCGTCAGATCGCAAGGCTGTGTGTGTGGCAATGAGCACATGAATTCTTTTCGGCTGGGTAAAAGGCCAAGACTGACGATGCTTGGCAACGAGGCTTTGGTGATGGTGAGGATCTCAGTGAGCGGCAGCGAAGTTTATCGATAACGAAACATGGCGAAAAGGGGTCCAATGTAAGGGGATTCCTGACGGAAGCAGGCCCCATGTCCGGTCAAGGTTCGAAATGGCATTCAGCGATGGATTGGGGGGTCCGTAGATCGGTGCAGGGGACTCCGAAAGCGAATGGACAGGGCGGACCCCCGCCACCCTCAGCAAGCCAAGGCAAGGCGTTTCGCAGGGCAACCGAAAACAGCATTTGGCCAGAGAGTAGACTCTGGAGCTTGTTTGTCGCCGTCGTTGTCGTTTTGGGTGTAAGATGGAACTCTGGGCGCCCTATCTAGGTCCGAGGTTGTATGGATGCTCTCAGTATTGTGACCAAAATAACTCGGCGTGTTGAATCGAAGCAACAATCTTCAGACGGGCACAGGACTTGGGGCCCCGTTTGAAGTTTGGGACAAAGTCGAGGGCGGCGAGAATGGGCCAGCAACTGGAGCTCTGCTATGGATACAGTAGTGCGAGTGTGGTATTGGGTAGCGAGTGCCATGGTGAATAGTGGGCTGAAGCTCGAGCTGTTTGTCGCATATCGTCTGGTTCCCTGAGCCGAAAGTCAAGACGAATTCCCTGAGAGTGGGACGGCTCCGTGCCGAGACGAGGAATTGTGGAAAGGCAGTGTCAAGCCAAGACTGAGCTTGATCATTTTTGACTCGAAGGTTTGGAAGGTTGCTGAGGCAATGCGAGGCGGGCACGCAGCATTGGGTTCGAACAAGATGAGTGTGGGCGACTTAACGGGCAATGATAGTGTTTGCGTTTTTGATAGGGGTTGTCCAACGAATGTATCGATAACGATGGTCTCTCTTCTTTCCGATGCGAGGAGCCGTGTAGCATGTGGATTGTGTTCCTGATGACGAGGGAATGGAAAATTGACAGCAGACGATGACGGAAAGCATGGGAGCTATCGGTAGCGTGATGGATAGCAGGTACGTATCCCTCGGAACCTTAGCACATTAGGTACTTGGGCAATTGGGGAATTGGAAGGCGCTCCTACTGGCGGAAATGTGGGAGGGAAGCAGTGAGTTCTCAAGTGACATTGGGCAGGAGCAACTCAGGGAGGGAGGGATCCAGGGAAAGCTCCTTAGCTCACTGCTCAAGAGGGTAAGTGGGCGGGCGCCGAACAGGAAACAGCGGAGAAAGATGAGAAGCAACGCCAGACAACACAGCCACGCTTGGCACCCTAGCAAGCTTCTTATTGGGTGCCGTCAACATCACCCCAACCTCACCCCTTGGCTTTGCAAAGACTGAAACCTGTTCGCTACTAGCTAACCCGTTGTATGACGTTTGGGAGGGCCTCTCTCTCTCCTAGTAAAGTGGTTTTCACTGCAAAATGGCCCATGGTTACTCAAAGCTTCTCCTTCCGGCGGTGTTTTGGTGAGGTAGATCCGTACAATGCTGTCATACCGGGGTAACCAACAATTGTCTTGAATGCCGGTAAAGCTGGATTCAGCAGCCATTGACAAGCTGAACAGTGCTAGTGCAGGTAGTGTATCCGAATACCGACGTCGTTGAGTGGGTTTCCAATGGGTTGATATGTAAAATGTTTGGTTTGGATATGTACCTTTTTGCATGTACCTTGCACTAACACCGCGTGCACCGTCCGTCCTTGCTTGTATCCGGGAGGCCGCCCATGCATCCAAAAGTGTCATTCCTCTTTCCCGTCACTCCCTCTCAGCACCACAATCACACCAAGCACCACCACTTTCGCAGCAGAGACTCAGAGCGACTGTTTCGTCCCGTCCTGTTTCTCTTTTCTTTGGGTACCACGGCACCCGTCCCACGTTCTCCATAGTAGCCTGACAGGAAAAGGGGGCTGTGTTCGTTTCTTGTTCAACCCTTCTCCCCAGCCAAGACTCATTTTCCATCGCCTGAACTTCTTGGAACACGGCTTTGGACAACATATTGCTGCCGTTGCTACTCTTCTGGCAACAAATTACAAGCGCTATCAATTACTATCAAGCAGACACAGATTCACCCGATACCAAGCCCGCCTCACCTTTTTTTTTTGCATCACCGCAGAGGCTACCAATTGGCCTTGCCCTTCCACACCATCTCTTTCTCAACGGTCAAGACACAGCAACACCCTCCCCCTTCCCCCGTAGCCCGTCATCGAGTCGCGTCGCTCTGCCTCAAGTCTCCTGCAGTCGTGCTGCAGCAGCATCCATCGCATCGTCACGCTCACTCGCACGTTCAATCCCAAGGACCCAAGGACCCAAGGACCCAATCCACTTGGACCACCTCCGGTCGATACACCGTCCACATAGATTCCTCTGTACCTTGGACTTGGCGCCCAACACTGCTTGCCATTGCCTCGCATCCATTGGATCAAGCCGTCACTGAACCGTCCGCTACCTACCTTACCTTACCCCACTCTCTTTGCCGTCGGGCGGCGCAGGCACAGGGCTTCGAGCAGAAATCTCATCCGGTCCGTTGCTACTATCATTATCAGAAATACCCACGCGCAAAAGCTTTGTCTGCAGCTTGGGACTGCCGGCCGTGATAACAAGGTAGGGGACAAAAAAGGCCAAGCAACTCATCAAGTCACGCATAGGCGACATCATGGTGTGTAAGTACATTACGATTCTCATTCTCCCTGCTTGATCTACGGATTTACCCTCTTATTCGCACTTTTACCACCTGACTTCTACCTGCCTTGATACCTTTCTGAGCACAATATCTCCGTTTACCTCCCACGTTCGTATGATTCTTCTGCCTTGAACCCGCCTTGTGTACTTCTCTCCAGTCGCACCTACTTTACCTTATGGTTTGCCTGCGTCTACCAAACCTACCTACCTTGCCGTACTTATTCCACTTTCCCACTCTTCCGCTGCGACATTACCTTAGTGTAGCCCCAGCAAGCCCCGTTGGACTTTCTTTCCGCCCCATGTCCTAGGTTCTTAGGTAGAGAAGCTGCATCCCTCCCCTGGACACCTTCACCTTGGCGCGCTAAGTCATTTCTACCACGGGGTGAAAGTCATTCACCATCTTTCCCTCCTCCAAGCCACACTCTGGCATCGCAACCACCCACCACCCGCTACTCTTTTTTCCATTCTTCCACCACACCTTTAGGATTCGGGCGCACAAATTATCAGGTCGCCCTATCCCGCGCGTGGATCGTCACTCCCTTGTCTCTTCCTTTTTCCATTCTCGCCTTTTTCTATTACTCGCCGGACGCCTTACCCCCAAAATCCGATCCGCCTTCCCATCTGTCACATCCACGAGCCGCGCGACAGGAAATTCTTCTTCTTCATACTGGTCAGGGCTCCGGCTAATTATGACGGCGCCATGTCCGACGATTCAGCCAACCAACATTTCCGCGGACAGGTCCGCTCCTGGGGTACAGCCAACAAGCCCAACGGCCGCGAAGGCGACGTGAACGAAAACTCGCCTCTTCTTTCAAATGGCAACCATTCGGGAACCCACGATAGCCACATTGTCAACGGCGACGGCGGCAACAAGACCCTGAAGTTCCTCTTCAACTCGACACAGACACCCGGCACCGACAGCCCCAATGCCGCCGTAAGATACGCATCGCACGCCTGGCATGTCACCAAGGTGTCGCTCCTCAGCAGTATGTTCAATCGAGAGGTACTATGCGCCGTCGTGTGCTAACAGACCGTTCTTTATTAGACTATGTCAACTTCCTGCTTGTTATGGTGCCTATTGGCATTGTGGCCGGAAAGTTGCATTGGAGCCCAGTCGCCGTCTTCACCATCAATTTCTTCGCCATTATCCCCCTCGCGGCTGTTCTGTCCTTTGCAACTGAGCAAATTTCGATGAAGCTGGGCGAGGCCCTCGGAGGCCTGCTCAACGCTACCTTTGGAAACGCCGTCGAGCTGATTGTCAGCATTGTCGCCTTGAAGGAGGGTCAAATCGAGGTTGTCCAATCGTCTATGCTGGGCTCCATTCTCTCTAACCTGCTGCTTGTCATGGGCATGTGCTTCTTCTTTGGTGGAATCGTCAACATGCGCGACAGAGTTACTGGCCAGGGCATGGAACAGAGCTTCGCCTCTGCTACGGCCCAGACGACTTGCTCGCTGATGACGCTGTCATCAGCATCGCTGGTAATCCCCGCCACGGTAAGCACTTCCGACAGGGTATGAAACCCCGCGCTCAATTACTAACAATACCTCGTAGCTCTACTCGGTCCTCGACAAGGCCGAAAGCGCCGAGAAGGAGCACAGCATTTTGGTACTCTCCCGCGGTACCGCCATCATCCTGCTGTTGCTTTATGTCTTGTACCTCTGGTTCCAGCTGCGCACTCACCCCAACCTATTCGATGCCGAGACCCAGCACCACCACGAGGAGGAGGTTGAGGAGCCGATCATGGGCCCTATTGCGGCGGCTGTCGTTCTCGTTGTTACCACTGTCTTGGTCGCCATCTGCGCCGATTACCTCGTCGAAAGCATCGACCCCATTGTCGAAACCGCCCACATCAGCAAGAATTTCATTGGTCTTATTCTTATCCCCATCGTCGGTAACGCGGCAGAGCACGTCACGGCCGTCGTTGTTGCTATCCGCAACAAGATGGACCTTGCCATGGGTGTTGCCATTGGCTCTAGCATCCAGATCGCCCTTCTGGTTACCCCATTCTTGGTCATCCTCGGATGGGCTGTTCTCGACAAGCCCATGACTCTCCATTTTGAGACTTTTGAGACTGTCGCCTTCGCATTCTCTGTGCTGGTCGTTACGTACACTGTCCAGGACGGCAAGTCCAACTACTTGGAGGGTGCCATGTTGCTTGGCTTGTACATCATTATCGCCTTGGCCTTCTATGTCAGCCCCAGCGACGCTATCGATCGGGTGCTGTCCGTTGTTCAGGGTTGAGGTAACTAAGTGCTGGAAATGCCAAGTGTTACGGAAAAGCAATTCGCAAGGCGCTGCCTCCCTGGCTGCCTTGTCTGCGTCAGCAAATAAACCGAGCCTACCACTATATTCGAGTAGGCGTCTTGGCGCTGTGTCGATTACGGGACGATACCCAACAGTCACATCGAGCCTCAGACACCGAGTGACTGAACAATCTATCTTTGGGGATGATGCGCCCCCGGTGCGCATTTCCCTTGTGTACGTAGTCCGAACTGTATTATATTCCCTTGGTGTGGCTTTTTCGTTTGTGAGGCCAAGGTTTAAGGTCTCTCCGCAGAATCGGAGAAAATTGAACGGAGCAAAGGATCAGAGAAAGAAAGAAAAAATCGTTGGTTCGCAAGGTCCGTAATCGCTAGTCTTTGTTCCGAATAAGAGAGAATATATACCATCATCGTCTGAAGAACCAAGAATTGCACTTTTTTTGTATTTGCCCTTGACGCCTTGAACTATGCCCTAGAGAAAGAGAGTGCCACGACGTGATCTATCTGGGGTAGTAAACATGTAATGAAAAGAAAAGAAGGTCGTCTGCAACACCTGATGTCCATCCCCTCTGCTTTTCTAGTCCCCGAATAATCTCTTTCTTTACATTGTCGGTCTGGACATGGGGGCAATGATGCCCTGCTTCTTGAGCACGCGCGGCTTGACCGCCGCCTGGTGAGATTCCTTGGTAACCCATTCCGGACCCATGGGCAGGCGGATCGAGCGCTCGTACTGCTCCTTGGACTCGAACTGGTGAGGGAGCTGAGTGGCGAGGTACTTGTCGTTCTACGAGGTAATTGTTAGCAATGGGAAATTTCTTTCCATGAAAGATTGTATTGAAGGATGGGATAGGAGGGGTAAGGAGAGGGTGCTAGACAACGTAGTGTGGGAGACAAAAAATCAGAAAGCATACCTTTTTAACGCGCTTCTCGCTGATAATGACCCTCTCCAACTTTGCATCCTTGCGGTTCGCCTTCTTGACGCCCTCGACTTTGGTCACGAACCGGCCCTGCTGGCGCTTCTTCTCGCGCGCGCTCACGCCGTCGCCGACCCAGCCGCCCCAGCCGGGGAGCGTGTTGTCGACAATCTTGTCGTCGTCGGCGGTCTGGATGGCTTCTTTTTCGCGTGCGAAGTCGACGACGACGTCGTCGCCTGCAAAAGCCTTGTCCATTTGGGAGATGTCGCGGATGGCGAGGGGCAGGTGAGAGTCTGGGGAGTCGGAGTCGGAGTCTTCGGAGGAGGAGGTGTCGGCTGCTGCTGCTGCTGATGTTGATTTGTTTGCTTTTGACTTTGATTTGGGCTTTGAGGAGGAGGCTGTGATGGCGAGGGAGTTGTCTAGGTCCTCTACGCGCGCGCCGCTGGATTTGCCGCCCGTCTTTGCGGATTTCTTGCGCGGGCCCGAGGACCAGGCTGAGCCTGTTGTCGAGGGCTCGGCTGTGAGGGAGTAGCCCGTGTTGACGCGCGCGTCGTCAACATCATCGCCATCTTCCATGCCAACGTCGTCGCCCCGGGCAGCGGCGGCGGCAGCCTTCTTCTGCTTCCTCGACAGCGCCGGGGCCGAGATGGAGGGCTGCGCGGCGCTGCCGTACTTCTTGCGTCCCACCTCCGTGACCTCGTCCTCCTCCTCGTCATCGCTGCCGCCCGAGTCCAGGTCCCGACGGATCTGCGCAATGAGCTCGTCGTTTGCCTTCTTCTGCTGCGCTTCGGCCTTTTGCATAAACTTCATCTTCATGAGGTCGGATTTGGGGCCGTCGTCCTCTTCGTTGTCGATGCTCTCGAGCTGCTTCAGGAGTCTCTTGTTCTCCTTCCCGCTGCGGCGGCCAGTGCCATCCTCGTCTTCGGATCCATCCTCGCTATCGCTGTCCTCTTCCTCCTCCTCCTCATCGGAATCACCCGTCCGACCCTCCTTGCGCCGCCTCAGCTCCTCCTCGCGGCGCGCCATGTCGTGCAGACCGGCGCGGTACTCGTCATCCCAGACGGCGCGCTTGTTAGACGACCCCAGCTTGGCCCACTTGGAGTCTCTGTGTCTCGCGCCGACGCGCTCCAACACTCGCGCGCGGTCCTGGGCATCCCGCTCGGCCTCGGAGTCGACCTCGACGTCGCCGTTCTCAGCCATGGCCTCCTTGAGCTTCGCCGCCTCGCGCTCCTTCTCCTTGCGGTGGACGCGGTGGTACGCCTTGGACTTGATCTTCTTGATGCGCGCCGCGCGCTTCGTCTCGCGCGAGGCGAGCTCCCTTTCGCGCCGGCGCTGGTGGATCATATCCTGCAGCTCCTCTTTCGACATCCCTTCCTCCCTCTCGGCCTTCGCGCGCGCGTTCTCTTCCTGCTTGTTCATCGCCAGGCCGGACGCCTGCATGATGCCGAGGATCGTCTGCTCGAGCTCGTTGCCCGTCGAGTTCTTGGCCGTGACGGCCTGCAGCTCGCGGTTGTCGAGCCCCTCGTCGGCGGCGTTCTGCGGCAGCGGGAAGACGAGATGGTCGGCGCGGCGGTTCTGCTTCACCGTCTCCTGCCACCGGCCAATCGTCTCGCTCGTCTTCTCGTAGGCGGCCGCGCGCGCGAGGCGGTCTTGCTGGCGCTTGTACAGGGGCACCTCGAGCTTCTTGCCCGCACCGGGGCGGGACGCTTCTTTCTCTTCTTTGGCCATGAGCTTGACGGATTTTCGCATCTGCGCGTCCTTGACGCCGGACAGGCCGAGGTCCTTGAAGCTGATCTTTTGCTTCTGCTTTGTGGGCGCGGCATCTTTGTCTTCATCGTCACCGCCAAAATTGGCGATGAACTTTTGGAGATCGCCGAGTTTGGAGGGGTCCGCTTCCTGGTCGTCTTCGTCCTCGTCCGAGGAGGGCGGGCTCTCGACATCGGAGTCTGAGGCGTCCGAGTCGTCTTGGCCGTCCTGGTCGGCCATGGACTCGTCGGACTCGTACTCGTCTAGGGCTTGAGCTAGATCTATTGCGTCCTCGCCGAGGGACTCGTCGTCGTCTTCATCATCTTCCTCTTCCGAGTCGTCCTGCGTTTGGTTTCAGTCAGCTGTGGGTGCACAGTCGTGGGCATATCAAAATGCTTTATTCGCCACCCACCTGGTTCTTCTTCTTGCCCTTGCTACCGCTGAATGCGTAGCCCTGGAAATCCTCGTGATCGCTGTCGCCAAAGGCCTCGTCACTGTCGAGCTCCGAGTCCTCGTCTTCGTTAACGCCGTAGTGCCACTCGTTTCCGTCGCTGTCGCTTTGGTACTCATCGGAGTCCCCACCTGCACCGCCAGCAGAGGGCTTGGCCTTCTTCCGCCTGGGCTGGTCGTCATCCTCGTCTTCATCGTCCTCTCCATCTTCGTCGTCATCGTCGTCGGCGGCGCGGCGCTTTTTCCGGGCCTCCGGTGCGGCTTCGATCTCGCGGAAGCGTGGTGTGCGCTTCTCCTTGGGCGCGTACAGCTCGGAAGCGGTGGTGAAAGCGTCGAGAGCCTTGACTTGGGCCTTGTTCTTCGACTTGCGGAAAGTCTTTGCCGCCGGCTTGCTGGAGAGCAGCGGTCGGCCGTGGGCTTGTCGCCCATGGGACTGCCTTCCGGGGGGCATCTTGTGTGTGTAAATTGCACGAAATTCAAAAACTGACTTTTTGCGCGAAGGAAGTGGCGCAGAACAAAAAGTTGAAAAGTCGTCGGCCTTGTCCCGCCTCAGCTTGGATTGCAGCGCACACACATACACACACACGGTTCATGGTTCCCCAGAGCAGTGAGCATGGGCAACTTTTTCAAATTCTGCCATGGTGGGCGCAAGGCGGTGAGCCAGAAATTTACAGCGGGGCACACTTTGAAGACCCGGACCCCTGCTCGATTCTCAAAGTGTCGGATTCCAGTGGCCCCCAGTTTTCTGTTCCGCGCCGCTGCCCACCGGCGTCCACTGACCGTCCAGGCCGACTCCAGAGTCCAGGGGACCTTTGCGCGATCGAACGAGTGGGCCCACTTTCCACACTGATCAAGCCGAAGGGACCCGGAACTGACCAGCCAGGGAAGTCCGACCACTCGGCTGCCCTGGATTTCCAAAATAATTTATTCTATGATTCATTTATACCTACAACGTCCACTCCTCCACCTCCAATTGCGCTCTGGAAACACCACCAACACCACCACCACCAGTATGGCGTCGTTCGCACCAGGCCTGCGGAGGCTCGCCGTGAGGGCATCCCCCTCGCTCTTCGTGTGCCGCCAATGCCAGCGCCAGCAGCCGCAATGGCGCTCGTCCTCGTCTCGCATCCTCGACACCATCGTACGATCCCAGCAGCAGACTCGGAGCTTCACCCAGACCAAGGCGCCGCTCAACTTTAGCAGCAACGCCGTCATCGCAGACAAGCCGTCCGCCTCGATCGCAGCGCAGGCTGTGGACAAGGCCAAGAAGGCCACCAAGAAGAGGGCGTGGCCTGAGACGAACTCCAAGTCTGTGGGATACTGGCTCGTCGGCAGCGCCGTCAGCGTGTTTGGCATCGTCGTCTGGGGTGGCCTCACACGACTGACTGAATCTGGGTAACGAACCTCCCCTTCTTCGACCACCGTCCCCTCAGAACACAGCAGCTGATCTCCCTTCCCAATGCAGATTGAGCATCACCGAATGGCGTCCCGTAACCGGCTCCATGCCCCCGATGAACCAGGAAGACTGGGAATCCGAGTTCGAAAAGTACCGCGCCTCCCCCGAATTCAAGCTCCTCAACCCGCACATGGACCTGGCCGAGTTCAAAAAGATTTACTTCATGGAGTGGTCCCACCGCCTCTGGGGCCGCTTCATCGGAATGTCCTTTGTCCTGCCCACCCTCTACTTCATCGCCCGTCGCCGCGTCACCCCCAAGATGGCCGTCAACCTTTGTGGTATCTCCTGCCTCATCGCCTTCCAGGGCTTCATCGGCTGGTGGATGGTGAAATCCGGCCTCAAGGACGACCTCTTCGCGCCCGGCTCCCACCCGCGCGTCTCCCAGTATCGCCTGACCGCCCACCTCGCCACGGCCTTTGTCTGCTACTCCTGGATGCTCCTCTCCGCCCTCACCGTCTTCCGCACCCGCCGCCTGCTCGCCGACCCCGCCGCCGCCAACAAGGCCCTCGCCGCCCTCCGCAACCCGGCCATCAAGACCTTCCGCCGCCTCTCCTTCGCCCTCGTCGCCCTCGTCTTCACCACCGCCATGTCCGGCGCCCTCGTCGCCGGCCTCGACGCAGGCCTCATCTACAACGAGTTCCCCTACATGGGCCTCGGCCTGACCCCGCCCTCGGGCGAGCTCTGGGACAAGTTCTACTCACGCAAGGAGGACGGCTCCGATCTCTGGTGGCGCAACATGCTCGAGAACCCCAGCACCGTCCAGCTCGACCACCGCATCCTCGCCATGACCACCCTCTGCTCCATCCTCTCCCTCTTCGCCTACTCCCGCACCCGCCGCGTCGCCGCCGCCCTCCCCGCCAACGTCAAGAAGGGCGTCCTCGGTACCGTCCACCTCGTCCTCATGCAGGCCGCCCTCGGCATCAGCACCCTCATCTACATCGTCCCCGTGCCCTTGGCCGCGGCGCACCAGGCCGGCGCCTTGGCGCTGCTCAGCGGTGCCTTGGTCCTTGGACACCGTCTGCGCGTGCCAAAGTCCACCCTGGCCATGATCCAGAAGCGGATGAAGGCCAAGGCGAAGGCTATCAAGTACAGCAGGCGATCTTAGGCCCGAGTCCATTATCCCAATGACTCGCAACTTACTCCCTACAGAGTTACAGTTTTACATTATTTGGTTTAACTGCATTATGGCAGCGACAGCATTTTTTGCATTATGGCACGTACGATACACACAAAAGCAAGTAGATATGTATAACACTGTAGCAACAACGGATGGACACGGCCAGCCCTTTGAGGTGGTCATGATGTATCTCAAGTCTATCCCATTCAAAACCTTTTGATTCTTTTTTTTCTTAATAGAAGCTCAACTCTAGACTACGGAACGTCTGCCGGATATCACTGGGGGCGTACACTTTCTCTTTTTATTCTCCGCGTGCGTCACTTGTAGACAATCATACAGGGCGATTCGTCTTGACATCCAATCCCAGCCATGTCGAGAACTCTCTATTTGTGGGCTGTGATGCACTATTAGCCTCAAAACTTCGTTGCAGCAAAAACCAATCAAGACTTACCAATTCCCTCCTCGGGGACAGGCTTGACGCCGACGACCTCAGCTGCGGAGGCCTTCTTCTCGCCCTGCTTCTCCTCCTTCATGAAGGGGAAGGCAAGCACCTCACGGATGCTGTAGTTGTCGGTCAAGAACATGACCATTCTGTCGATACCCATACCCCAGCCACCGGTAGGCGGCAGACCGTACTCGAGAGACATGCAGAAGTTCTCGTCAATGAGCTGGGCCTCGTCGTCACCCTGGTCCTTCTGGCGGGCCTGCTCCTCGAAGCGCAGTCTCTGGTCAAAGGGATCGTTCAACTCGGTGTAGGCGTTGACAATCTCCTTCTTGCACACAAAGGCCTCGAAGCGCTCGCACAGACCGGGAATGTCGCGGTGGTACTTGGCGAGAGGGCTCATGACTTGCGGGTGGCCGAAGATGAAGGAGGGGTTGACGCACTGCTCCTCAATGTACTCGCCAACAAGCTTGTCGATCATGCGGGCGTTGGTCAGGGGCGGTGAGCACTCGAGGTTCATCTTCTTAAGGACCTTCTGGAGGAACTCGTTGGTCTCGGCAGTGTGGAGCTGGTCGGCGGGGGGGAACTTCTCGCCCGTGGCCTTCTCGAGCTCGGGAATCATCTCGAAGCGCTTCCAGGGCTTCTCCCAGTTGACCTCGTAGACCTCACCGTGCTGGGTGTGGAACTTGGTCTTGTAGCCGCCAGTGACGTGCTTGACGAGGCCGCTCACGAGCTCTTCGGTCAGGTCCATGATGTCGTAGACGTCGGCAAAGGCTTGGTAGAACTC